GTGTCCATGTCCTCTATAGCGCAGTCGTGAAGCAAATGCCACTCCAGCATTCGATCTCTTTCACCTAGTTATTAAATATCTAACGTCCTTTGCTTTGTTTGCCACTTTTCCCACCCTGTCCCTTATTCTCTTTGGAGTTTCTCCTCTTCTTCTCCTTCGGTGCGGTCATGGTGACGTAACCGGTGACAACTGGATCCAGTGCTGCTCGCATCGCTGCTGTTCCGCAGCACCAAATTCAACTCTTAGTGATTAGAATAAGGCGAATTCCCGACAGAGAACGAAACTCGTTTATACTTTGCGCTACCGAACTAAATTTATCCCATCCACACATAGTACACACTTGGATTTAGCTCTTCGTGTAACTGGTTATCATAGAAAATTGCATATTTAATACACACTGACAGCATCGTAGTGTAAGCAACGTTCGGTTAAAAGCCCTACTGATGCACCAAGATCGACGTGAACAAAAGGTAGCCAACCACCCCTTTTTGTTGGTCCCCGATGTTTGGTTGTCCTATCTATCTCTATATCACCGATGGGACCGGCACAGTTTTTATGGCTACAACCGGTATCTTAATGTCTGCAATTGAAATGAACTGATAAGAGCAAACATTGCTGGAAATTTTGCAGAGTAGACAATAGAGATTTTGTGCACTCTGCATGCTTCATCCAAATGCGCGGTGGCAAATCAAGCACTCAGCTTAACCACTTTCTTGGTTGTGATTGGCAGCAAACGATTTGCTCGCAATAACTGTAAACCTATTGGCGGGCCATTTTGGACTACACATTGTTGGATTGGATTGCGCCGAGCCGTCTCAATGTGGACAGCCATTCACATTGAAGTGAACCTTAGTCACTGTGGTCACTGGGCCCGTAGCCGAAGCAGCTAGAAATTAGGTGTTGCCAGTCCGAAAACAATGCGCAACTACGACGAGTTTCCATATCGTTTTATCTCATCAGGTGGAGATTGCAGGCCTTGAACCTGCAACCATTGGAATAGTAGCCGACACCTCTACCTCTTTGCACGTCGCAATCCAATCACAGCGTGTAATCGATAATGGCCCTCCAATTAGTCATTAACCGTTGTGACAAGCGTTGCTCGTCCTGACCCTGTAACCAAAGGTGTAGAGATTTCGGCTACCATTCAAATGGTTGCGAGTTCGAGGCATGCTACCTCCATCTGATGAGATAAAATGATATCGAAACACGTCTTGGTTGTGCAGTGCTTCCGGACGGGCAGCAGGTATTTTTCATCAACTGTTAACTTACTTGATGGTTTGTACTCAGGCTTTAGTGAGTGTCAGCTTTGCATTCCGTTGTGGTGGAGGCACAGGGCTATGATAGAGACAGGCTGGTCTGAACAAACACTCAAAATCCACACAATATCTAGTGCCTATACGAAGACCACCAATTCACAGGATGTATATTTTGTGGCACACAACTTCCCCAATATATATGCTGTATTTCCGAACAAATTGTCAGAATTTTGACTCTTTACCACTTTCTGGAATTGCAGGAATATTCTGCCCGACAGTGAGCACGGTTCGACCAACAAAGCAAGTCAATGCGGCAGTTAGCGGGGCTGGTTACAGCGAACGGCTATCACGAGTGCAAAACGTGTTTCTATGAAAGTGTACAGGAAGTCACCTTCATTTGTCCGCATAGCTGCTGCACTTTTATCATGGTAACAAGAGACATGTGGTAAAAAGTCGGTGCTTAATAAATGTTGATTAATTACGGATTAAGAAGTTTGTATCCTAACTTACGTTAGCCGATTTGATGGGACTTTTGTGAACATAACCAAAGGAAACAGCTGGTACGTTTTCTGACAATAAACCAGCCGCTTTCTTTAATGTGCACGTGAAACTTATACTCTCCCTTGTCTTAGTTTGAAGCGCAAAAGAATGTCGGCTGGCAAACGCAAACCTTTGATCTAGCAACTCGAAAATATGGTGCATTTGATTGGAAAAATGTAGATGGGTCAGTGCGTCATCCAACCGGCTGTTAAACATGGCTAGTGTTTTGGGTAGCTGTAGATCAAGCAATCTACTGCTCCGGGTGCGACCTCTCAAGTTGGGATTATTGCTAAGCTGCAATTAAGTGGGAAGGACATGAAGCAAATTGTGTAGGAATAGATAAATCTTTTATCAGGTCTCCTCGCAATTACCGATTTTGTGAATCGAGAGTTACCATGAATAAGTTCAACTCGTAGGGGAGATAGCGCACTCCACTGAGCTACGCAGCGACCGGACGTAACACAATTCCCAGAGCATGATGCTCGTATGCGTGTGTCAGGGTAACCAAGCTTGATCCGCCTATCCGACAGGAGGACGGATCTAAACGTTGAAATTTCGGGGGTGGAGATAATCGATAGTTCAGCTTATTTGGATGCCCTTTTCAACAGTCCGATGTGCTGATGGTCAAAGGTTCATGCAATTGCTGATCAATCGGAACATGCCAAGTTATCTTGAACTACTCGTTCATCAGAAGTTCCGTGGTATGTACAGCGTGGGACCGCAGCAGATGGTGTCACGGTGTCACACAGGGAATACTGTAATGTTGTTCACGTTGAACTGCAGTTAAAGCAAGATATCCTCTCATAGGTGGGAACGTACACAAAAGTCATGCATGCCCACTTCGTAGCAGCGTTACTCGTTGAGCAGTCCTGGACATCAGCTGGACATCAGCCAAAAAGTGATCGCGTGCAAGCCACGATTAATCCATGCGAGTGCAAGATATTCAGAGCAAACGAAAAGCATGATGGGAAGCGGATAATAGCAGATTTTACTGGGACATTCAGGAACGTCACTCGCTCAATGATAACTAGAAGGATCACTGCAATGGAGACTGTATCCCCTCTGTACATTTGTGGCTCGTTGATCTGAGGAATTCCGCTGGGTCTGGGATTCGCAGCAGTAGAATCGTGTTGCTTGTGTTATCAGAAAAATCGTAGCACACCCAACTGTTAGTGAGGTTACATTAAAAACAGTAAAAGCCGCTTTAATGTAGAACCCAGTATGGCACCTAGCCGATTTGCAAAACAAGCTGGTTTTGCTGAAGATTGTCGCATACTAGTTTTAATTATACTTTTGAATGGCTGAGACACTAGTGAGATTAAAGCTAAAATTTACCACCCGAATGGATAGTCAATAAACGAAATGTACTTGAGATGAAGCTACTTCAGCTGGAGACTATAATTCATCCGTCAGATTTCATAACGGTACAAGATGAAGAGACAGTGTGACTGATTAATTCTGCCACCGCGTACCACGCACCTCGGCCCTACAACTCACGATCAGGTCTTTAAACCCTTTAATTATAGCCATAAGAAGCTAACAGCTAGGGCACATCGAATGAAGAATGCAAATGCTTACAACACTCCCTCAGCTCATTTGCCAGACGCCGTGCAAAAAATCTACTACGCCAAGGTAAGTTAGCAAATCAAAGGATGCAGTGTTCAGCGTGGGTATCGTGTCCCGTCGGTACCTCAAACCCTAAATATTTTCCACAGGAATGCGAATAAATGGTGAGGCATTAAGCATGGTACCCTAAAACTAGAGACAGAAAAGAAGAAGTGGGTATCGAAATAGACCAGTTTTGAGGCAAAACAACGGTGTTGTAGATCAACATTTGAGGATGTCATCACTTAAATGCCGGTCAAACCCACACTCTTTCGGGCACGATAAATTACTTGTTAATCTGGTGGTGTTCATAGGGAGAGTTGCTCTAATTAGTAGACTGTCAGGCCATTGTAAGAGGTTTCGTTCGCTAGACGAACTCGCATCTCTGAGCGAACGATAAGACAAGTGACCAAACTCAACCGCTCAGACCACCTCAGCGACACTTTACATCTCAACCTGCTTTCCATGGTCTGGAACTTCAAAAGAGGAGAAGGGCTGTACGACTGCAAATTATGGTCGAAAATAAAACTGAATGGCATAAGTATTAAAGAGACTCGCTAGTAAAATTTTCAAGCACCATGTCATACATAGCTGCTGTGCAGGAAGTCAAAACTCTGGGGTTAACCCCCTGCGTAAAGTTCGTAGAGAGCAGGGCAGTGGAGGATAATGTACGCTTTATTGCAGGCAACCGGAAACTCCTGACAGTCTGCTGCCGTCAACTACGGCCGATGGGCACAAGACGCTGGAGTAGTGAGGTCTTTGGCTTGATTCCTATCTGAGCCAGGGAATGTGCCCTACCAAAGTGCCCCAGTGTAACGAAACGGCCGCCTAGGGATTTTTCGACTGCGTAGGGACTGTGCATGGGAGCTGAGTTCAAAGAATCATCCCAACCTGCTTCAAAATTCCCACCTTCCTAACTGCACCATTATCCGTCTGTGCCCTAACTTAGGTCTCTCAATTGCATGGACATTTTATTTGGACTCACATACTAGAGTATTCCAGCATACAAAGGTCATCTGCTTTTAGTTGGCACGACAGTCGTCTAGCCGGAACAAAGGATCACAATACGAAATAGTCGTTTTTCCCACGCTTACACGCTGCATCCGAATCCCCAGTCCAAACTGATGAGGAGCGACTTAAGCGATTCGATGGAAGAGAAATCCAGCAACTTTGCGACCCTGGTTACAGTCTGAATGTGGATCATGTCAGGTGTGGATTTGGTGCACGGGGTTGTCATTCGCCTTGTGCTTTTTAGACGAACCAGCAGATATCAAAAGCAATTAACGGTCTTCACCTTTCAGAATACCATTACTGTGTCGGATGTCTCAGTTATCGCGTGCACCTAGTAATCCGGCCTCACTGGCAGGTGACCGGACGCAGTCAGCAGCCGGTGCGATGTAGTATTGTCAGGCTGAATAACAACGTGGCAGCGAACGGTATTCTGATTTCAGGCCATCCGAGGAAAACTAGATATAGTGAAAAATGGACGAAATCCCTAACTGTCTATGCGCGATGTTCTGAAGTAATCGTGTCACCGTACCTCTCAAGGTACCAACTCAGACGGCAAGTGAATAAGATTATTTCATAGTGCCAACTTACTCTTCCGATTTAGGATGTACATCCGTGGTAACAGGTTGAGCAAGCACAACATTTTCTGTTTGGCTCTTTGAGGAAGCCACATTCTGTGCTCGTTCTTTTTGCTTCACCTGTGGAATAAATTAACAGATACATCACCGATAAATTCACAAAATGCACACCCACAGGTGGCCCAGGTTAACCGGTTTGCTGTCCAACCAATTCTGTTCAGTGATTACGATAAGGTACATGTGTACGGTGGAAGAGGTCACCTTGTCATTTCGTCACATGAAGTAGCACTAAGTGGGTTTGCCGACTGAGAATTTGAAAATATGATAGATAACTTTATATGGTGCACAACTCGTATACTTCTGTGAAAGTGATATTATATTATTTGCTGGAATTGTACTCTGATATATGGTGTAATGTGCGTGTACTCAAGCGAGCACAAAGTTATGCCGGAGAAATACACTACGGTTTCGTATTGAATGCAAATAGCAAAAACAAACAGTTGCATGTTTGAAAATACCGATGCGCATGTTAGTGAGTATCCTTAAAAAATATACATTCTGCACTTCGATGAGCATGATTTGTAATTACCGTTCGGAGAGATTAAGCAAGTCCTTATGTACACAAACTGAGAAATTTTCCACTAACTTCTCGCTATCTCGGTAATTAGAGGGCAAATTATTGCAATCAACTGTCGGTTGCGTAAAGCGGACAATTCAAGGGAAATTACACAGTTGAAATGTTAGTAAAATCACATTTTTATTGGAATTGCAGTTTTCCATGGGGACTCAAATTGAACATAGCAGAAAAAAGACAAGGAAATCACCGAATAAAACATGTCCATCGTTGTAAGATGGATACGATTAGAGATGTTCGATGTAAGAACCGATTGCGAAACCTCATGTATCCAACTATAAGTCATGTCGCAACGTACCGACTACTGCGTTGGTCCAACTAGTCAGTTTCATAGCTGAACTGTAGAAGCCCATCATTAGATCACTCAGGGATGGATCCTACTAATCTCTGCATTTCGTTTATAACCCGGTTCCATGCACACCTGAGAAACTTTTTAAGTTTTAGTTTTATTACATAAGTGTAGTCATAACGGGCATAGAAAGTGTTCAGAAATACTTATTGGTCATCTTTACATTTCTCCTATGTCCATTTCATAGCATTAATTCCTAGGCAAAAAGAAAGGCGGTGCTATCCATCAAGGAAAAGAAACAGCTTCGTGCAGCGCCTGCTTCATCGTAAAGTTAAGCACCCAGTACCAGAGGGTCCCCTATCAATAATAAGCTCATGTAAGTGTGTGAGATGAAGGCAGAAGTTTAGTTGTGAGGTTTAGATTGAGGGCACCTCAAGGCACCCGGATTCAGGCGTTGGTGAAATATCAGGAAAATCGAGCTTGAATTCACAGGAGACCAATTTACTGGACAATTGCCGTGCCTTTTTTCACTCTACTATTAGAACTAAGCTAGACAACACAAGTATGCGGCAACATGCAGCAGGTGTTGTCGTTTATATATGACGACACTATGTGGACATTTGTTAAACAGAATGAAGAGTGCTGGACCGCCGTTTCGTTCTCTTAAGACCCATCAAATTCCACTGGCGTTCAATCTATGGCCCTCCTATTACAGCGCGCCGAATAGGCTAGTGGATCATGAGATATGGTAGCGGCCAACCAATACGGACTACAAACCATTCAGTAGCTAATAATGTGCTTTCCGAAGCCCTGCAACTTTTCCCATTAGTATCGTATGACGCAAAAGTGCTCACAGAACAGTGAACCGAATATGCATCTGGCATCCCGGATTTCATCCTACCAACATAACCAGGAGTGATGGTAGGAAGGTGCCACCGTGCGATTTGTCTGATAGGATTCCCATCTCCCCGCTATAGTCGCTAAAGCAATACGCGTTACTCCGGTTCACATGATTGGTCAGTTTCTTCATGTGCTCTGCCGTGTTATCTACTGGCCACAGCGTTGCATCTCATAATTTTGCTGAGGAATGAAAAACACCACAGAGAAATCCTAACAAATAGCCGCGATTCACTGAACATGTACGATCTCCATGCCAAGGGAGGCGATAATTATCCCTGTGTGCGTCTGTGCCAGAGACCGACACGGCCTCTCACTTTATGAGAAACATAACTCTTATTTTTACAACAGGTAGACGTAAGTATTTCAAGACACAAAATGTGTTGACAATTATTGAAAATGCTTGTAAAATCCAGATGAGGATGAGGGTGTTCGGTTATTTTCCGAGCTCAGTATTTTGGCTGCAGATGTTTTGTTATCAGATTAAATGAAATCAGCCATGCAACATCTAGAAAAGTGAATTTTCAACTCTCCTGATTCGACTATTTTATGGTTAATGGTGAAGTTTTTATTTCCATCTTCCTTAGGGGTCATTTAAGTTTACTTGGTTGGTGAAATAATGACAGAAAAAAACTTCCTTTGTCCCTCAGATCCGAGACAATTTGATGGTTTGGCCTGTGACGCTCCACAATTTGCCTCTAGCTCCAAGCGGATAATAACCGAATTCGGTCCCAAATGCCAAGCTTCGATGATGTTACGAGGTATCCTGCTTATTTTACTCCGCATTATGTTACCAACATTCAGATGAAACTGCTAAATATTTGTGTTCATTTACAAAGATATTATTAAGCAATCGTCAAGGAAACAGGCATTCGCGAAGGCCGACACTGTGCTCGTAAAGGAATATGAAGGGAAGAGAACACGAACGGATCATTTTCATCTCCTTTGCAGATTTGTTATAACAGTATATATATATATAAGTATATATATATATATGAGGTACAATATTCAATATTGCCTCGAATCAGCATTGGTGCTGAAGTATTAGAAATCACCTCTAGCATTTGCTACCTTGGGAGTGTGATGTCGACTGATCAGCAGCTACACGTTGAGCTGCGTATTCGCGTGTCGAAGGCAGCGGCGGCATTCGGGAAGCTTGAGTACCGAGTGTGGAACAACCATCAGCTTACCGTTGGCACGAAGCTGATGGTGTTCAAATCCATGGTGCTGTCCGTTCTTCTATACGGCAGCGAAACGTGGACGATGTACCGGCGGGATGTGCAATATCTCGAGCAGTCCCATCAGCAGTGTCTGCGACGAATTTTGCGCATCGGCTGGGGCGACACAGTTGCAGACACGGAAGTGTTGCGCCGAAGTGGGATGTATGCAGTGGACTGCATACTTTTATTGAGACACCTGAGGTGGCTCGGTCATGTGAGCCGTTTGGATTCGACGCGGATACCGAAACAACTCTTATATGGTCGGCTGAGTATTGGAAAGCGGCATGTGGGGAAACCAAATTTACGTTACCAGGACATGATTAAAGTGAGCCTCACATGTTCTAACCTTGATTGCAGATCATGGGAACCGAAGGCGGTTGATCGGCGTGCATGGCGCGATCTAATCACGAAGGTAGTTGACGAGGTGCAGGAGCAAGCCCTCATGCATGCAGAGAAGAAGCGGCAAATGCGGAAGCAGCAAACACAGATGAATTGTACTCCATCGACATCGAGCGCATTGTGCTGTAGAACATGCCATCGCGAGTGCCTTAGTCAGGCAGGCCTAGTGAGCCATGAGCGAGGCCACCCGGGACTACTACCGAAGCGACGACGGGTTCTGCAGAGAATATCGCCAGAACCGGCGCAGCGTTGGTAGGTACGCTGCATTCGATTAACTAGCCGCATGGTTGCATGCTAAGTCTCTTTATTTCAGGTTGTAGGTTAGCAATTTTGTATTAATGCCTTTCTTTCTCATATAAATGTCTACCTGTACTCTATTCCATTAACTTGCACACTTCGCTTAAGCCAATTGTATTTGATTTCCATAACATTTTTGGGTTCGTGGCACTTCCGTATAGTATACATTCTCACCTCGTGAACTTATCTAGGATTCGTTTGTAAGCAACTTATTTCATGTGCTCATTAACTTAAGGTTTATGTCACCATTTCCTTATGCATCAATCGAGTTATTTTCTTTCTCTCTCTTTCTCTTTCTTTCTTTTCTTTCTTTTTTCTTTTCTTTCTCTCTTCTTTCTCTCTGTTGTTTAATATCCCCGGCGTGACTGCGCTTGATGTGCATGTTGACAAGGTGCCTGCCTGTCTATTACCCACTACCTCGTCCATACTGGCTCCAGGAGACAGTTGGTCGTTGCTGGAGGGGACTGGGTGCACGGTCCTTGTGACCGTGTTATGATCAAAGAGTGGTTCAATGCACTCAGTGTGGAGCGGACTACGGTCCAGCCACCGTCTTGTGTGCGTTTGATTCCCCAAATACAGTGTGTTTGTGTTTGCCTGTGAAGGAGTGTGAGCCGGCTCCGTTGATGAAACGTGGTTCCCATCCGCATGCCTCCCCATCTTATTCCTTCGGGTTTACACTGGATATGGGGTATGTGATTGGAGCTGTGTGTGGTGCAGCGCAAGCCATCCATGGTCCCTCTGTAGGCGCAGGCGTCCTGTGGCTTGCCACAGTGACAGGCAAATCCGAAACCGGATGCAGCCAACCATGTAATCTTTCCCCATGCTGAGGCTGATGTCGCATTCATGATGCTTCTTCACCGCAGTTGGGCTAACTTCAACTTTATCGTCACTTGCAGTGCGGCCGCACTTTAACTCGTCTCTCGCTTTGCCCTCTGTGGCGACTCCAATTCTCCCCACACAATATTGTGCTTGCGCTCGTTCGAACCAGTTCGACGAGCTCTACTCAGTGCTTTCCATCTCCTGGATCTAACCTGTGTGGATTACACTATTGCTCCAGTTCCCAGTTTTCGGCATAATCTTTGCCGTATTCCACTTGTGTACCTACATCAAACCGGTCTTCCGTAAAAGATTTTGGTCTCATTCGGAAGAAGAAGTTGTGGACGCCCCAACTACGCGGCAACCATCCCTGCAAGTTGCAGCATAACAAACTTACAGCCGTTTTGCTCCGCTCGTCAACTGAGCAGCTCTAGGGACGCTTATCAGCGCTCCACCTGCATCGTCGCTTAAGGCAGACCGATTAACACACGCTGCCGCTTTGTGTGGGTGTGTGTGTACCACTGCAAGTCGATTGATTGCTGAATCCGACAGTCTGCGCGTTACGACC